GGCACCCCGCACCAGCCCCGTGACAAGATCATTAATAAAACTCTGCAGGAACGCTATCGATTGCTTTGATGGATGATCACAGGTAGCAAATACTGTAAAACACCTGGTTGTCACACACAAAATGAGTAGTTTGACTCACACCTCAGTGTGGGGACTCAGCTGTGGCTCTGCTGGGTTTGCTCCTCAGTGGTTTCCACAGGGAGGGTGGTCAGTGGTGACCGCCCAGTTTGGGGCTGCCATCCATGCTGGACCCCCATGCTCCCACCTCCACTCCCCTACTGCTTTTCATGCCTATAGATGAGACCTGGTAATTAAAAGCCTCATTAAAGCACCTGGCTATGGTGCCCTGGAACCCAGGTTGGGAGCTGAGCCAGATGGAGGTGGGTTGGGGTAACCTGGTGCCACTGGATGAGCGTGGAGACCTCCAGGAACACCGACACAGCGAGGACCCCAGGAATGAGAGTTTCCAAGGCCATGGGCTCTGCTCCCCCCATGCTGTCTCCATCAGGGATGCAGGAGGGGCTGTGTCCCCCACTCTGCTCCAAGCGTTTCGCTTGCGAGCCACGTCGGCATTGACAGTCGGATCATATGTACACAACCATTCAATTACCCCGTAATGGCTACAGGCGATTAAGCCATCAATCTCCTTCATTAAAGCCTGCAAGGCCCGGCCCAGCATCGCCCAATAAAACCATTAAAACAACAACAGCAACCCAAAGCAGCAGCTTTAATGCATGGGCTGTAATGCTGGCCCTGTCAACAGCACTGGGAGTGTCCCTGACCCGGGGACGCCTGGGGACCCGCTCGCCCCAGTGGGTATTGCCCTGCTGGGGTGTCCCAGGGAGCTGGAGGCTGCCCACCCCTCTGTGCCCCCCCTGCTCGGCACACCAGGACCTGCTCTCATGCTTTATAGCTGACATTACCTTTTATTGCCATATAAAATCGAAGCTTTAGTGGCTTTATGGGGCTATGCCAGCGTGTGGCACCCCCAGCTGCTCCCTCTGCCCTCGCTGGGCACTGCCCTGACTCCCAGTCCCTGTGCTGGGGTCACGACTTGTCCTACTGCACCCCACATGAGAGACATGACTGGTCCTACACTGGGGTCATGAGTGGTCCCATTGCACCCCACTTCAGGGACATCCATGGTCCCAACACACACAGTGGGGGCAGAACTGGTCCGAGCACCCAAAGCAGTTGCACTGTTCTGGGCAGGTCAGAGTGTGTCAGCTGGGAGGGGGGAGTGGGACCCTCCAAAAGAGGATGACTCAGCACAGCAAGGAAGGTGATGGTTCTGGGCTGGTCCTACTTGAACTCCGCATCTGGGGGACCCCAGACCTCTGACCTCCAGTGGAACCCCTGGTTTTTGGGGGAAGAGGAGCAAGGGGTGTTGGTGCAGGG